AGATTCTACCTTGCATTTTCCTAGTTTTTGAGTTAGTAAGGCCAAGGAATAGAAAAATGGAGGGTAATGATACAGTTTAAGTTACGTAGAATGACACAATCTAATTGTGATTTTAACCACCGCACTCAAGGCCTCTCACAACTGGACCCACCTCAGATAAATGCAGAAAGGCTCTCAATGGGACTTTCAATAAAGACAATAAACCTGAGGAGAGAACAGGAGCCGTGTCAAGAAGGAACAGGAACAAGCCGGGAGAGGGACAAAGACAGAAATAAAAAGGGTGCTCAGTTCTGTAAGTGAGCCCCGCCTGGGAATGAGTTGAGAAAGAGGTCCCCGGGGGAGCTCTGACTAACCCCCGGCCATTTGGGAAGCAGTTTTCTACTCCTACTCTCCATGATTCCCAACTCATTTTGGGAAGACCATCTCCCTTCATCCTTGTAAAGAATACTGAAAACGACCTGCATGGCAGGCATTTGGTTGTATTGTATATTTAAAGTATATACCAGCAGAGGTTTTAAGGAGGGCTGCGAGTAGATTAGTAGGCGAATGCACCTTGACTGAGTGCAGGGAGCAGTGTGGACAGAGATGGCCAAAGTTCAAAGAAAACTTCTTGTCGAATTCACAAAAGAAACCAGAATAAATGTTGCCAAAGTCTAACCATTCTGGGCTGATAAAACCATGTGCCATCTTTGTGTCAATTGACAATGAAGCATTTCTAGATGAAGATTTTCTGTGAACAAAACAGATGTCTTTTCTGTTTTGAGAGTTCATCTTGACAGGAGTTCCCTATGAAAGTCATCACCACATTGAATAACCAGCATTTGTAAAACTCAGTAATTTGCTCAGTGGTGAGCACGTCCCCTACTATTCAGATTTTAAAAGCAAGTATTAGAAAATACAGAAGTAGATGGGGATTAAAAGATTTCAAAAAGAGCTTGAAATGAGTGAAGAAGAGAGACAGGTGGTGTGAAGAGGGTGGGCAAGCAAAATAGTCTAAGGATGAACCACAGTGCACATTCTTTGAAATATGAAAAGTGTTATTAAATCATGAAATTATTAACTCCTATAAACTGATAGGTGAAAACAATGTGCCATTAATTCGTTCCAAACAAAACATAGTATCTTCTTCCAAACTAACTTTTACCTACCAAGTATTTCAGCCCAGAAAGACATGGGTCTGGTTCAGTCACTTAACTGTGTTGACTTAGGAATATACTGAACATCTCAGAGACTCTTCCTCACCAAATAATGTAATGTAGTAATGTGACTGAAAGAGCTTTTAAAAATTATGCAAATACATTATCTCTGTTTAGTAACTACTATTTAATATTCTGATTTGTTACTATAAAAATCAAATTGAGAATCTACAATTATTCATGAATACTTTTTAAGAGTACATATAATTTTGTATGTACTCTTGTATGTAGTTCATATAATTTGTATGTACTCTTTGTATGTAGTTCATATAATTTTCTTCATAATTATATGAATACTTTACATTTTAATACACATTTACTTTGTAGATAAAAACCCTAAAACTACTCTTTATTAATTTTAAAAAATTTCCCAGTTTTATTGAGACATAATTGGTATGTAACATTGTGTAAACTTAAAATATATGTGATGATATTATACACACAGCTGGTCCTCAAATAAGGTTGTTCCTTTCAACATCATTTTAGTATAACATTGGTGAGGAAAAAATCTACTTTGAGTCAAGTCTACTGTCCGTGTGGAGCTTGTGTGTTCTCCCCGTGTCTGCGTGGGCTTTCTCCAGGAACTCCAGTGCCTCCCCACATCCCGCAGATGTGCGTGTGGGGTGCACTGGCACGTCTACATTGCACCAGCGTGAGTGCGTGTGGGTGCATCCTGTTGGAAGGGGCGTCCTGTCCAGGGTGGGCCCCCACCTGGTGCTCTGAGCTGCTCACCGAGGCTCCGGCCACCTGCGACCTGAACTGGAGTAAGCCGCTTCAGAAAGAATTCTCATTCTTGTTCTCATTAACCTTTCTTAAATCTCTGTAGAGCTCATATATGTTTCCCTGTTTAATAGTAGAAGTGTTTCAGATCTTTATTTGAAGCTCTGTGATATTTTATGATGAGATATGCCATAGTAGTTAACTTGTGTTTATTTCAATTAGCCTGTAGTAACCTGGTTTTCCATACCCATAGTTCTGCTTAAAGTTGCAGTTTCCAAGAGCTTACTGATGACACTGAGGACTCCCTGTCATGTGGGGCTGTATGTGTCTTACAATGATTACAACGGTACTGGTTAAATGCCTTTTTACAATGATTAAATTGAAAAAAAAACAAATTACACATTTAATCCTGAAAGTAGAAGGGTTCGTAGCCTTTTTAGTAATGATGCAATTTTGTAAAACAACCAAATCAAATACTGGAAGTATATTTAACATGATAAGAACAATTTTTTCCACATGTTTAAATAAAAACTGACAGCAGGAAAGAAGCCATCTGTGCTTAAAACTGATCATTGCTAGCATTAATACTATTTCTAAATTCAACTTCCTTAAAAGCAAATCACTTTATAATTTAATTAGGCTTCCATCTAGGAAAAAAAAGTGCTAATAAAAGCTCTGATAAAAGAAAGTGAGCTTAGACAACTGGTTTAAAAAGAATCCACATAATCACGGGGCTTAATTTTTTATCTACAATTCAGCTCAAAGTCATCAGAATGACTTTTATATCAAAGAGCTTCAATGAGTGACAAGAGCAAGACTTGCTTTGTACTGTTTAAAAGTCATTATTCCATGAAATAACTTCAGCCTGCCAAAATGAGACAGAATAACAGATGCTGTTTTTGCATTATCTGCATTATTTCAGCCAGCCGTCCTTAGACATTTGGGTCAAATTTCTGGAAATTTGTTACTTGCTTTTGACACAGGATTCATGTATTCTAACCTCTCTGTTTGACCTTTCTAATTGGCATCCATTTGTAATACTTTGCTTTCTGTGGCAATTATCCTTAAGCTGGCCTAAGTTTCATGTACTTTTTGCATGTTCTACGGCACAAATCTGAATATTTGAAAAGTCAAGACTGTCACCCAAAACAAACCAGTAATAAAAAGATTTTTTACATGCACCACATGTTATTCTGAAGTTTAGATTTTGAAGATTTTAATCTTTTTATAACTTTAAAGATGACTGAGGAAAATCTATTTCATGCAGATATTTGGTAAATTGTTTTCTGTTCTGTATGTGGATGTTTCACAATTGATTTTTAAAAAATAATGTGCATTACTACTTTTCAAAAGCTATGCAGAAATTTGCTCCTTAAAATAATAAAACAATCAAAAAGTAATTATTTTATGAATACTATATTATACCTTGCTAAAATATAATAACTACCCCAGAAAATCAAATAGGTAAATCTTTTAAAAATTCTGACAGTATGTGATTAAAGAACTTAATAAAGGTGTTTAATTTATTTTAATAAACTGAGATTGCAGTAGTTTATTATGTTTACATAATTATACACTGGTAACTAATATTTGTTGAACACTTACAATGCACCAAATACTAATATAAAAAGCTTTATATATATTATCTCATTTAATCCTCAAATAGCTATAGAAACAGATTGAATTCTATGGCCTCCTCCAAGAGGCACTTAACAAACCACCTTTAGGTTTTTAGGGAAAGGGAAATTGAAAGTCTTACACATTGTACCAAATGGAATTCTCATTGAATTTTCTAAAGGACTGTAAAGTAGAAATCATAAATGGTAAGTTTCAATTGATTGCACTCAACTAAAACTTCTTATATATTTTGAAAACTGGAAAAGGAATGGTTCTCCAATTCATTTAATAAGAATGAAAGGGCACAAGTGTTAAAGGACTAGCATTAAAGACTTGATTTTTGCAATGATTTATGGGACAAAGCATAGCACACTCCAGTCCAGGCAGTACACTTCGTACACTGACTGGTGCAGCTCAGCTGGTTGGAGCACTGTCCCACAGAGCAAGAGGTAGCCAGCTGCACTCCTGGTCAAGGCACATGCTCTGGTTGCAGGTTTGGTGCTGGTCTGGGTGCACATGAGAAGCAACCAATTCATATTTCTTTCTTACATCTATGTTTCTCCCCCTCTTTTTCTCCTTCTCTGCCCTTCTCTCTGGAAAATAAATAAGTAAAATCTAAAAAAAAACAACTTAGTATACTATAGAAAAGGCATAGATCCCTTTTAAGTGCTATGCATATCTACTAATACAAATTAACAGAATCTGTGAGTAGAAAAACTAAGCTAAACATATTTTATTAACTTTAAAATGTGTTAATGCTTCCCAAGTAACCATCATTCTCAGAATGAAGTACAGAACTCTGTAATTTATAAACTGCTCGCAAACTGTACAGGTATTCTGAAGAAGTGTTAATGAGTGGAAGTTAAGTCTTCATAGTTTTAATAATTGTTTTGATGTTCCAAAAATAGAAGGTGAAAACTTCACAAATGGATAAAATAAAATTTCTCTGTGAAAGGTCAAAATGTTCTCATTATTGGTTTCTTTCCTCAGTACTTGTTAAAATGAAAATATATTGCTTAGAACCAATTGTTGACATCATGAATAGCTTGTAAAATTAAATAAGAACCTAGTCAACTAAATACACACACACGACCATCATAGACATATAAATTTAAAATGTTACATAATGTACTATTTCCATAATATTTCTTCTCACTGGAACTGCTCTAAGAAATAAGTAACGGCAATTACCATCACTGTGAGAATGGTATTTTCAAATGCAATCTCCCTTACAATTTTTTGTAGGCTCTATCTTTTCAAGTAAATAAAACATTTACATGGTTACTTACAAAAACATGTACAGTGTTTTGGGTTAAGTGTACGTATAATTTTATAGAAACAATAAACATGAAGTTCTCTAAACAAATTGGCTTACCTGCTTATTAATTTTAAAAAGTCACTTCATTCCATTTTACAAATGTAAAATCTCCATAACACCTTTAACAAATATAAAGCAGTTCTACTTACACTTGCATGGAGTTTTCCTTTTTTTGACATCGCTAAAAATTTGTTGCTGAAAACTCCTCGTATTCCCACAATCCCCTGAGACACAGCAAATATTTCCAAAATACCTAGGATGACAGAAATCCCAAAATAAAACACAGACTCCTCCATGTACCATGGTGAAGAACCAAATTTCTACACAAATCATTTCTATTATTTATTAATGTGATTTTTTAAAAGCATTTAACATTTTTGCGATATCCACTATGTTTTTTAAAAAGCTAGCCATAAAATATGTATTTAATATGATAGATTTCAAGATTCAAAACGTAATTCTGCTTCATTAGTAATTATTTTCTTTTTTGCAAATGATAAGTCACTTTTAGTAAATAATGTTGGACAATAGAATCTTTTCTACTTTTAGGAATTGAAGGACTTTTAAGAAATATTTTTCAAAATGATTTTATGCACTGCTTTCTATCAGAAGTAATGCAATGTTTAATATTAAAACTCAAGACTAGCATAAACTGTTGAAAGACATAAAAATACTTATTTACATAAAAGAAATCCCTCTTCTCAAAGTATCATGATCACAAGAGTACAAATCAATATATACCATACTTAATCATTTAGTGAGTAGTTTATTTAAGATTACACATAAGATACTAAAAGCATTATAAATCATTTGGGATTGTTGGCTCAATGAAGTGTTTAATGAATTATGGTTTGAGACATCTTGCATTTGAATGACTTTTCTCAGAAAAAATTTGATGAAGTATTTTACTATGTTAATGCTTATATTTAGTATTACCAAGTCAAAGTTGCTCTGTCTCCTATAATAATTTGAAAGCCCAAATCCACTAGGTCAAGAGAGACACACACTTCAGCTCATAGAACATTTTTAAAAATGAAATTCAATCTGTATATACTTGGAATTCCTACCTGTTTTATAGTCTAATATATGTTATATGAACAAGAAAAATGTATAGTGCTTTTTGTTAATTGCCTACATCAAATTGGTTTTAAAAAAGGGCAAAATAATATAATTCACTAATACTACAAAGAGGCCTATCTTCTATCTTAAGAAAGCAAAGATGGGAGGAACAGGGAAAATCTATATTTCAATCTATAATACTTTGAATATATACTATATAATAATTAAGACCTCACTGTGGAAGAGGATAATTAATCTGTTTTTCTTGAAATAACAATCTCCTCCTGGAGTATATTAAATACATACAAAAATTTATTCAACTCACAAAAAAGTAGTATACTGTGGATATGCATATATATGTATAAACACATGAGAATATTGTTTTTTAGAATATCCTATATGGAGCACTGATGTTGCATAATGTGAGCTAATGCCTATAATTGTAACAAATACTCCTACTTATTTGTTTAAATTGATTTCTGAACAATACTTGATCAGAAAGCTTCATGGGGTGAGGAGTCGAAGAACTAAGTTTTCTTAACCTAGAATAAATAAAACACATCTCAAGAAAACTGCAGCTACCAATTTATTAGATGTTTCTTTAAAGGGAAGAAGAAAAACTAAAAACTGTTATAAAGGAACTTCTTTTGTTTATAGAAAGAAACTGCTAAAAAAACTTGTCTCAAATACTTTTTTGCAAAATGTTTTTAAAAATGCTATTTACAAAAGATTTGGCTATAGAAATTATAAACTATGATGGGCCTCCAAAGATTTAGAAGCATCATCATTTTATCAAATAATAATGAAGCACACAGAATATTTTTATAGTTGAAAACACTACAAGACAGAGCAGGTTTAATAATATTTGTAAAGCATAAATAGAAATCTGCTAGAAAGTTATAGTTCTATCAAAAGTACAGAATGATCTTGATAAAATGGCATTAATGGATTTTAGATCTCTGAGAGATGGGGGCTGTACTTGTGAATGCTGTGTACATGTGTTAAACAGTGAAGTGAGACAGGGAGGACATGAGATATTGCCCGGGTGTGGAATAATTGCAGCCAAAGAGACAATGTGGAGTTTGAAGAAGAGACTTGGCTGCACATTTTCCCCCAAATTATCCATGGTTCTACATTGCTAGAAGTGTTTTATTCCACTCTCTGTGGAATATGCAAATATATTGTAAACTACATTTTGTAAATGCAAATGTATTGTATATTAGTAAAAAAGTACATGGCAGCATAAAAGGTAACATTCTCATTAAGTATATGTATTTGCATGCTGACATTTAAGAGGTCAAAATGAAAGGGTTCTATAAATATTTGTTTATGGAAACTATTGGTTCTATTTTTAAGAAAGACCCATTTTCACTCATTCAACTTGTTTCCTAACACTGTACCTTTTGTATGTATATACGTTATGCAAAATTTGCATTTTAATGAATTTCATATATGGGGTAAATGAAATAATACTTTATTTTATTACATGTTGCATGGTTTCTTTTCTTTTAAGTCTTGGCATAGAAATGATAGATTGCCTGAAGATAAAAGGGTGCTATCATTGTAAGAAAATGATATTTAATGGAAAGCTTCAAGTATTTTTACTTATATCATCCTATTTAAAATTATGAGGAATAGAGAGTAAATGAGATTAAATAAAATAATTGCTTTTTTCACATGCAACGTTGGTATGATTGTCTGAGTCCTCATTTAATTATGTCACAATATTATGAATGTTGGTAAGATCAGAATTTCCAAAGTAATTGCAACAGTAATTTTACAATATTTTTCTAGAATATTAGAGCAGAGTCTATGAGCCCCACAACTTCCTGCCTCCCTCAAGAGACTGCTATGATTTTACTATGCTAAATCTCAGTAACTCACTAAAGATTTCTACATAACATTCTAGATAATAAATCTATGTGCATTAAATCACATATATCTAAATCCTAAGAAACATTTCTCTGCAATGAATTCCTTTCTCAATTTCAGTAATTCCCTGACTCTTTCTGGGAATCAGGACTAATAAATTTAATGAGCATTTACAATTTACATTGTGGATGCCAAGATAATATCCTTCAGCAAAAGTGTGTTAAGTCCAAGTGTGTCTCACAGATCATAGTTAGCCAACGAGTGTTCGCTAAATTGGACTTTCTTTACCTACTACCTCTCTTTTCATTCCGAGGACCCGCCATACGCACACATCTGTAGAAGCATGTTTTAGTACTCTCCTGGCCAGGGGAAGAGATCAATATAAATTAATTCCTGTTAAAGTGCAGGCAACAATGTGTTGTATTTCCTAGGGTGTTCACATTTAAGAGCATCAAAAGAAAAGGGCAGTAACACAGAAGGAATTCTCTGGGTGGAACTTTGGGGTTGACATCTAGGCTGCAGGAGGCAAGCCCTTGGAGTCTCCCAGACTATACACACAGCTGTTTAATCCACTGACTTACAAACATAAGCCTGCGTTACAAAGTAAGTATTTCGGTAAGAAAATACACATTTAGACTTTTTTAGTACATTACAGATTTTTAAAGCAATAAAACTCTATTGAAGACAGCTAATACAGTTCTGTAGGCTTCTTCACCCTTTTTTCTCTATTCCTACCTAGTGAATAAGACACAGATAGTCCATGTATTCAAAGCTTTCAACGGCCCATCTGAAAGTCATCAAGGAAAAATAATTTAAAGCTGAAATTTCTCTATTTCTGTTCACATAGGGACCAATATGCTGCATCATTATCAAATCTGAGTTTTAAATTATCCAGTTTAGCTCTCTTCATTGATTACACTAGTAACAGAATTTTTCCACTGGAGTTTTTCTATACAGTAGATAGAGATTCTGGTTTATCTAGGTTTTGGGAACAATATAAAGGCTGACCTTACATGACATAAATATTGATAGTGAATTCAGATTTCTAAAAATCAGTAAAATTGAGGATTCAGTTTAAGCAAAATATATGATTGGAATTTTTATATTTTATATAAAACTTTGTCTTTCTATAGTCACAGCCTTAGACTTTTGCTCCTTAGATTGACAATTATTCAATCGCTTATTCTTTAATGGTCCAAGATAAGTCAGCAGAAGCATTGTATTGAAACCAACTTTACCAAATATAAATGAATGCAATGCCTTTATTACTACTCAACAGTTGTCTGTCATCATCTACCTTTGCCACATTTTCCTCAGCTTTTCTGTAGTATCTCCTCACAAAGAGAGTTTATGTGCAATGAGCTTGATTCTTCTCTCTGTTTTCGAAACATGGGATAACTATTGTGTAAGACGAGCTAAGTAAGAATATACTAAGTGGTATACTTTAACTAAACAAATTGTATTTCAAAAATTTATGGCCAGCATGTACTTATGATAGTGAAACTAGAAGACATTCAGTTTACGAAAAGTTTGCTATCAAATGATAGTTGAGAAACATATATGTATGTGTGTGTGTGTTCTCACAAATATTACAGAAAACTATTGATCTTAAAAGAACCTGTTAGAATGCAGTTTTATGGCAAAGTTCTGACTCTTTTCTGAAGTAGCAAGCTGTGACAAAGAGTAGCTTTCTGTCATTGCTCACTCATAGACAATAGAACTAGATGGTAAGATAAAACCCTGGTGTACCCTCTATGATGCCAGCTCTCTCGGTGTCCCTTGTGAGACTTAGACAAATGTTTGCTCATGTACCCTAACCTCGATGGTGTCAGGAAACCATCAAGTGCTGCACCTTCAAAGAGATAATTAGGCCTCTGTTTCTCATTCACAGCTACTTAAGGGAGCAGAGATTCATTTTAAATTTCCAAATTACATGCTACCCTGGTAAACACGACATATTCCATAAATTCTTCATGGGTCAAAGGTAGCAAAATCTTATGAAGTAGTATTGGATACATGGGCATTGCAAAGCAGAAAAATCACCATGATTTGAACACTTTAGTCATTCTTTCCTCTGTGACAAAAATTTATGGAATTTATTTAAAGCCAAAAACAAAACAATCCCCCAAGAAATCTAAAAGTACAAAAATATCAAATTGGGGGAGGTAGGTATCCTAGGTGCATGAATGAATAAAAAATGAATAATAAGTGAATGATCACGCGTCATATGAGACATACACACTGAACTCTGAAAGGCTACTGTAAGTTGTAATGAATTAAGAAATTGTTAGTTGAAAGAAATTTTTTGTCATTGTTTAGGAAACATCCCTGTTCTTTTGTAGATATCTTTCAGGTGGATTTTAAAATAAACCAGACCTTGGATATAACATATTGATCAAGGTCTTCTTTAGCTGATGATGTTCTTTGCTGAGCTGTCCTTCTTTCCCCTCCTATGCTTTTCTGCAACTGTCCCTTGAGCAAGGCCTAAGCTGCAAACATTTTTTGTCTATGTCTTTTTTCCCAAGAGAAGAGGGTGAAAGTCTTGGGAATCAGTCCACTTTTCAGAGATACCTAGCACACGAAACCCACCCCAAACACATTGTTTTACACCCCTGGGGTCCAACTGCTGCTTGATGCATGTTAACTTTGGGTCTGCCCCTGTGCTGGGAACACAGAAGTTTTCCTCTGTTGATACCAATTTCCTAGATAAACAGAATAGAAGAGGTTTTCACTTAAGAAAAGGAGGAGAGAGTCCTAGCAGTAGGAAATGAGCTCTGATGTCTGAAGGAGTAAAAGGTTGCGTGGGACAAGACAAGGACAAATAGAAATACTAAAACAGACTTAACTCTCCCTGCTCCTGAAATCTCAGCAAATTTCCTTTCATCCTACCACCAAAAGTGATGAATTGTTAGTAAGAGTCAAATGAACCTTAAAACATAGGCACAGGCTCCTGTAAGAAGCATGTGGGGGGCCCTGGGACCACTGGGGCATGTACGGAAGGCTCCCTGGCTGCGTCCCGGCCGCCTCACCACGTGCAACACAGTCAGCTGGAGCTGCACAGCCGAGTGACTAGTCTGGGCCGGAGGGGTGGGCAGCCACCGGCTTCTCTTCTTCAGCAAATCCCCAGTCTTTTTCACTCCCGGCCCCTGAACCCCGGGAAGAGGCTTGCCAGCCGGCCACCCCATCGATATGGGCATCTCCAACAGGGCTCCGCAGGCCAGCCCTGCTGTGGCGCCTGCCCTCCTTTGGAGCCTGAGAAAGAAGAAACCCCCCAAATAGCCCATGTGGTCCTGGGTTTGAGAAGGAGCAAGTTACCAGCCTCAGCTTCCTCATTCTTAAACAAGGAATTTAAGTGAGCAGCCGATTAAGCGAGCAATTGCCATGAGCCAGGCATTGCTCTGGAGAAGGAAAACAATACGTAGTCAAAATAATCAAACTCACAGAGAGCGGAAATTCAAGTACACCTGAGAACGACCAGGCTGACCTCCTGAGGTGAGTGACCACGCGCAGTGCTTTCTCCTGGACACATTTCCCTCTTTTTGGTATCTCGGGGACCGGGCTGTGACTCTATCCCATGGACTAACCCCACTGAAAGAACGACCTGACCCTACAGAGGAAAAGCCCGGCAGAGATGCCCCAGGACCACGCACACACAGCCCCCAGTCGCCTAGAGGCAGGGAGGGGACGCAGAGGAGCGGGGTGATGGTCTGGAATTGCAGATAGAGTGGAAGAGAAGAGAAATGAGAAAGTCGAGGAAGAAATACCGAAAGAGAAAACTCGAAGAAAATTTAAAACTTGGCTTCAAAATAAAACCCTACACAATTTTCACCTGTACCAAATTGAACACCCTCTGTATTTCTTCTAAAAGAAAGAACTTTACCCTATTTGTCTTTGGGGACCAAAGGCTGGTCACTCTTCCTAACGAGGTGTTTGTTGTCTTAATCTCAAGGTACTGAACATTGCTAAACCCAACTATGGAGCTAATACTTCAAATGTCTATCACGTCGTCGCCCTTTCTAAAGATGTCCAGTTTTTCCAGATCACTGTTTTCCAAACAAGTGATGTCTGGTCTCCCCTAGAATGTACATGTATTCTATAGGTATATAATGTGCAAATATATATACACAATAGACATATGTTTGCATAGGTAGATAGATAGATAGATAGATAGATAGATAGATAGATAGATAGATAGATAGATAGATTAGATAGATATAAATACACACACATAATTGGGGGACTTTGGTGGCAGTGCTGGGGGTATGTGAGATTTTATTCTTTTAAAAAATACCTTTAGTATCATGGGTAAGAAAAAAGGATGCACTTTGATGTCTAATGAACAATGCTATCCTAGTGAACAGAAACTGAAGGAGAAAGAAGATTTTTGGTTTTGCTCCAGGCATAGGCTGGAGGCTTTTTTGGGGACCAGGGCAGATTGGGAACAAGGTGCCTATCTGTGCGCACCAGCCCCCGGGCAGCCCGTGCCCCAGGAATCGCCATTCCTTGTACCCACCAGTCCCTACGTGTGTGCACGCCACACAAACGCATCTCTTCCCCACCCGCCAGGCTCTTTTGAAAGCCAGCTGGGTCCCACCTACCCCGCCTGGGGAAGAAGACCCGGCGGCCAAGGGAATAATGGGTTGTCCCTCCCGAATGTCTGGCCACCAGCTTAGGACTGGTTTTGCTGGAGAGCGGGCAACTTACTTAACGTATTGGCTTCGTGGGAGCCATTGACTTTGCCATCCGGGTAAATCTGCAGATGGAAACCGATGCCCACTCTGCAGTAGAGGCTGCCAGTCCGGCGCCCCGAGGGGGTCCACTGGAAACTGCTTTGCTCCAAGCCACTTCCTTGGCTGCCCAGAGAAGTCGTAGGGGAGGAGGAAGAGGAAGATGTCGTGCTACTGCTGCTGCTCTGGCTACTGCTGGAGCCTTCCAGGTTTCTATCAGTGGCAGCGGGTCCGAGTTGCCCTTTAGGGGCGAGGAGCTTCTCCCCTTGAGCCCAGGCGCTGAGGATCAGGTGGCTGAGGAAGAGGAGGAGGAAGGACAAGCTCATTCTTCCAGCCGCGGGGGTCCTAAGTGCATCTTGTAGAGCTGGGTCTGGGCTCTGTAGCCCCCGCGCGGCTGCGTGCCTCTGGCGCTGCCCCCCTCGCCGCACTGGGTGGACATAGCCTCGGGAAAGACAAGGGGGAGAGGGAGAGAGAGAGAGGCCACCAGAACGGCTCTCGGCGCTGGCACTGAGATATTTATAACGCCAGTGATCTCACTGCTCCGTGCACGCCCGCGAGGCTTCCTCTCACCCGCCGCTTTGTGTACTATCTGGCGGGTGCGGAGAAGGAAGCTGGCGGCCCCGGGGGCGGGGGTGTGGAGGAGGGAGGGGACGAGACGGAGTGAGGGGGTGGAGGAGCCGAGTGCAGAGGAGCTGCACCCGGACCCGGGGCCACGCATCCCAGCTGTTCTCACGCCCCACGCGGCCACCCTCAGACTCCAGCCAACGCTGCGCGGAATTCAGCTGCGCGCGTGCGGCTGAGTCCTCCAGGGACAGCGAGGGAAGTGGGGGGTTAAAGCGTAGAAGTGAGTTCTCGTCCTCTCCACCTCTGCGCACACCTGAGTCCCAGCCAAACCCTCTGGCCAACGCAGTCGGGACCCAGTTTCCGTGTTCCCTTTCCTCTCCGCTGCAGATTCGACTCTCATAATAACCCCGGGGCCGGGAATCCCTAGGGACCCGCGTCCCACCGGGAGATGCCGCCACTTCAAGTGCTTCCGCGGGGAGCCAAGCCGGGATTCGAAGTCCAACTTGGGAAAGATTTGGTGCGGAGCGGTGGAAGAAGACTTTCTGTTGTAATGCTGGTTCTTACTGATTAAAGAGCTAAGAATGGGTTTGTCCAGGGTTCAGAGAGCCACCCTGAGCCATTGTGCCACAATTCGAGATGCTTTGTATTGGAAACTCTCGTTCGCGCTAAACATTATGCTGGATTTGTTTTTCCTTCTGGGAAGCCTTGGGTGTCTGTCTGGGAGTGTGAGCGCACACGCTTACCCACCCTGGGAGTCGGGCAAGAGGGGCAAGGTCTGGGCACTAGCAGGTGTGAATGACCGTCCAGTTGCCCTCTCTCTCCCCAGGACCCCCTTGGCAGGAAGGATTAGCTAACAACTAGCTTCAGCTTACTCAGAGCTGCCATTGACTGAAGGACCGACCCCAATGAATGATTAATGATGCGCGCTGGATTTCAAGAAACCTGAGAACTCAGAATTTCAATATATGAAATACCCCCACTGTCATTTATCTAAGAAATATACCTGACTTGCATTCTCGGAATATTCCTGTCTGAAAACGTATTTGAAGCTTTAAACTACGCTCTGATACATTATTCATTTTAATGAAAAGGCTATGATTTTGACCGATAAGGTCAATTCACATACGCCGAAATTGACCCTATGATACGACTTTATTCATTATTGAGTATCCACTTAAGGATTCCTAATTAAAAGCATTACAAAAAAAACACGTAGATTTTTCAAGATTGGAAATCTTCCATGGCCAGAATACATTTAACATCAAGGCTGCTGTAAAACAAATCGCCTTGACAACTTACTAAAGCCGCTGTGTAGGGAAAAGAACACATCCCACCGAGGTGTGCACAGGGGCCCTGACGCTAGTAAGTTGCTGTCTTGGGCTGAACATCCATTCCCTTCCCACTGTTGAAGGTTCGAACTCTATGCTTCTGGCTTAACTAGAGTACTCAGACCCTTACAAAGCAATCCTGAAAGTGGACCTTGAAAGCAAACACTTGGTCCCTCAAACCACTTGACCTCTTTCCAGGATGAAAAATTGTGAGATATTGAACACCGTGCCTTCTGCAAGTGATGCCTTTGGGTCTGTGACAAATCTGTCATGGTTTAAGGCCTGATGGTGCTGCTGAGTGCCATCAGTAAGCTCCTCTGCGTGTATCAAGTGGCAAAGATTTTCCAAAGTAAATCTAATTGTGTGTCTGTCCCCTCTCCCTTTATCCGCTGAAAGAGCAGGAGAGTGGATCCCGCCCTAGAGGAACTATTAGCAGCTTCCTCAAACCAGGGAGAGCGAGGCCACTCTGGGGCCAAGTTTCTGAAGCTGAGATTCCACCTCTTGTTATTTCTACTCTGTTTCAACTTCCAAGCCGTACCCTCACTGAAACACCTATTCTTGCATCTCTTATGCCCGCAAGATTACAGTTGGGGATCAAAGTTTTGTCTAGAGATGACCCAGTAAGGCCAAGGCACCTTCTTGGGCTTTACCTGAGAGGGTGGCAAGATGCATTCCGATCTCCTCTGGGTTCCAATGGGGAGACTTTAGGAAAACTGAGTGCTTGCTGGAGTGACGGATCCTTGTGGACAGTGACTGAGTGTGGCAAGCCGGACGCCAAGGCCCCTTCTTAGCTCTCTTAGATACTAAGGGGTTAAAAAAGGTGCGCTCTTAAAACTGAATTTGCATGGTGTGAGTAAGCAAGTAGGGTGGATGCCACTAAACTTTTAAAATCTGTAACGAGTGTTGGACAGGTATTCGGGTCATTAAAAAAAAAAAAAAAGATCCGCAAACGCCGAATGGTGAAAGATGACGACACTGCGTGTGTTCTGTGGGTGGACCAGCTAAGTCCCTGCGCGGCTCCGCGGAGAGGAGCCGGGCGCCCAGCGCTCCGCGGCTGCGCGCGCCCCGGCCGGCGCCCTGCCGAACCGGTGGAGCATTCGATTTCCCCTGAGCCGTGTCGGAAAAATCTGCGGTGGGAAAATCTTTAATTTCACCGTTTGGTCTACTCGGGGCTCTATACCCGTAAAGTCCACTCAACAGAGAGTGCACGCCTGTACCACGCTCACGGAGGTGGCTTTACGACCATCAAAAGCCCCCAGGCGGAGACCTTGCCCAGATCCGTTCCCAAACCGCGGAGCCCAGTCCCGGTCGCCAGGGCTGGGTGCGTGCGCCGTGCGGTTATACCCGGGCTTTCCCGCCCCCAAAGGCAAAGTTGGGGAAAAGAAGGTGCATGCTTCTGGCTACCTGCAGAGAGAAAACGAACGGTCGTCGAAGACTAGTTTGCAATCATCCGACAGGGGACCCGAAAACTAAACAGGTTAACTCAGCCTGCCGGCCCCCTAGGCGCCAGGCTCGTAGTGCGCCTGCGCCAGCTCCGCGGTCCGGGCCCCCGGCACTCGGCTTCTGCAGCTCCTCCGTCCCTCCGCTTCGCGTCCCGTAACACCTCAACCTTTTTTCCTCTCCTCCCCTAGTTCTATGCAGAAACCGGGCGGTAACTATCTCTTGTCTCCTATGGATATAGGTATGATCCAGTCACTAGTGACAGGAATCGATTCAAACCCTGTATCTCCAGGCCGGCACCGAAAAGTCTAAGGAAAGAGAGTGGAAGAAGTTAATGCATAAGCTTCCCTTCACTGAAGGGGCAAGCTCACTATTCACAAGCTTCCTCTGACTGTATACAGAGGCCAGAGCTGCCCAGGGACCAGCGCTCCTGAGGCAGGGCCTCCAGGGCCTGGTCTGTACCAGGGGGCACCGTGCTGGGTTGGAGAGAAAGAAGAGGTAGCTAGTGATACAGGGTGAGCAACCCTGGGCCGTGCAAGACAAAGTCCCTGGAGACTCTCCAACCCACGAACACGCTGCCACATTGCCAGTGGACCTCTCACAGGCCTTTGTCCAAAGAGACTCAGTCACACCAAATCTCAGCTTCTGGAGGTACCTGCTCTCTATGATGTTTGCCTGGTTTGAGGTTGGTTATCATGGAAAGCAAGGGTTTTCTTTGTTTGATCCAAGCAGACAAAAGCCTGGTGGTTTTCACAGTGTTTTCCTAAGTGATCTGCTTGATCCTGGCCCTCCCTAAAGCACCTTGGGGCCCACTCTCTCCATTCCTGCCACCCTGCCACACACTCAGAGGCTGTATCAGGATAGCAGGACAGCTTTTTGCTAACCAGGTATCTGGTCACTCCAGAGTGACTTCTATATTCCATACAAATATCAATGGAGGCACAGTTGTATTGTGGGAAGAATCAGGACCTGATCCTTTTGGGGCCTTCTGTCAGTGTTCTTGCCAGGACCCTCTATTTCCTCCAGGCCTGGCTTCTCACCAGCCAAGTTGGCAGCAACTGCACAACAAATAGCCTGTGGCTCAAGGAGCATGGAGCAGGCTGGGAGGGGAGGAAGGTCCCACTGTGAGAAGGAAACAAAGACCAAGAGTGTACATGCAGGGTGAAGATGGTGTGATTAGAGATTCTGCAGGTCCTGGGGTTTGATCTCATCCTCTCTCCAGGGTGTATTACTTCCCTCTGAGGAGGCATTTGTTTTGAAATGGCCACAGGCAGCTGATCTTCTCTGTATCTGTGAAGTCAGAAAGCAACGTTTTCTAGTAGAAAGGGATTTTGTGACCTGAATTGACTCAACGAAAACAGTTACTTAAAATAAAATAAAAGTAACTGAAAGCTCAACTATGAAGCTCAACTCGGGTGCTTTCCAACTAGCTTCTGGTACATCTATGCACTGATTCCCAAAGCACTGCTGGCTCCCAGCTATCTCAGCATGCAGTGGAATCCAATCGTAAGGAAATAACTGCTCTTAAAATACTACTAGAAACCCCTTCCCCTGTCTAGGACCAGCCATTAGGGATGGAGGATGCAGTTCCCTGTGAGTGCAAATGTCATTTTTAAAGATCACGTCACCATCCATTTCCCCCAAACAGAGCCCGCTCTGTCCTTTATAATGGGTTCTGTTCCTGGCACATCTAAATATAATAATGTCAAAAGAAGTCATTTTGAGCCCTGGCTGGTGTAGTTCAGTGGATTGAGCGCAGGCCTGCGAACCACACGATCGCGGTTCAATTCCCAGTCAGGGTACATGCCTAGGTTGCAGGCCACTTCCCAGCAGGGGGCTCATGAGAGGCAACCATACATTGATATTTCTCACCTTCTCTCCTTCCCTTCCTCTCTAAAGATAAATAAATAAAATATTTTTTAAAATGTCGTTTTGAGTGTATGTAGATGGAGAGGTGTGGTACTTCCATTCCTGATTCCTCATAAGAATGGTGGGGAATCAGAGACTTTCCCCATCTAAGAGAGAAAAAGAGTGAATTAGAATGGCTGCTGTTGGAACAGCGCTAGCATTCCAG